GCGAGCTTCCCTGCAGCCCCGTGCTTCCCTGAAACCTCGTGCTGACCGAACCTGACACAATTGTTGGAGCTGTTGTACATCACCAATAAAAAAATAAAATAAAAAAAACCCTATTTACTGAATTAAGCCATTTTTTGTATTCACACAATATGCTTACTCATAAACTAACCAGATGATCTGGATTCATATAATAAACCAAGACATTAAAAAACTAACCAAGGCTAAACATGTTGTACTCTGAGGTTTGTAACCGGCCTGGTATTGAACACAGTCTCAACTGTTTTGCCCAGGATGTCAAGAGATTCATCAATGAGACGTGGCTAAAGCGACACGGTGCTGGTCTCCCTCAAGAAACACTGGCTTTGATGTGGTCCTTCATCGTCTCAATCTACTGCCTGGGTGGTCTTCTGGGCTGCTTATGGAGTGGACCTCTGGCCATGAGATATGGAAAGTATGGCTTTTTCTCATGATGGCCCCTTTTCTTACAGTTGTGAGATTTTATCACATACATTGATGTCATTTCAGCGACTATATAATTTTAAGAATTCACATTTTCCCCTCCCTCTTCATCCTAAAATAGAATTGAAAACCTTGAAATTAATTTAAGTCACCGAGAAATCAATCAATAGGGGGAAATACATGTGTGACTGGAGTCTCTAATTAACATCAGATTGTGGTTTATTTCAGAAAGAAAAGTTTAATATGCAGCAATTTTATCATAATCACGGGTGCCCTGCTTATTGGTTCGAGTAAGATGGCCAAGTCTTTTGAAATGATTCTGGTGGGCCGCTTCCTTTATGGCATCAGCGCAGGTAGGATCAAGGAGGAGGACGTGACTTTTCCCTCTCAGGGGAGGCTGAGGCACCTGAAGCATCCTAATGCTCGTGTGGCAGTCAGGGGGAGGCGTGGAGAGAGGTCTTTTTGCAACTATAATTCTTCCCTTGAAGGACTGTGCCTGAATGTCCATGGGCCGTATCTTGGTGAAATTTCCCCAAAGAAGTTCCGAGGCGTGGCTACTACCAGTGCTGCAGTGTTTTTTTCCCTAGGAAAAGCCTTGGGGCAAATCATGGGCTTAAGGTAAGCTCACCGAGCATAAGCGCTTCCAGGCTGGACAAACTCTCGCCTTCCACCTTTCCATTCCCATGGAAGGCAAATGGATTGAATGGGTTTAGTTGTCCTGTCGCTGAGATTCTTCCCCCTGCTCTGCCAGTCGCCTGCTTTCCTTCTCTACCCACCGTGATCCTTTGGGGAATAATCTGCTCTTCCTTTCCTTTTGGGGCTGTCATCAGTTCAGGCTGTAATTGTGAGAAACTCGGTTCCAGCCATTTGGCTTTTCTCTGATTAAAGAGGTGGCTTCTTCTCTTTTGCTCCTGCTCCTCTCTCTCCCTCCGGTCACACAACTACTCCAGGAAGAAAAATGGTGTCTCTTTCTACCCTGTTCTCATCAGAGATCTTTTAGGCACGGAGGTTCTGTGGCCCCTCCTGCTTGCTCTGTGTGGCTTCCCAGCACTGCTGCAGCTGCTCCTGTTGCCGTTCTTCCCAGAATCCCCTCCATACCTCTTGAGGCAAAAGAAGGACACCCAGGCCTGCCTAAAAGGTAACATCAGCAAGATGACCTTCTTCATTTCTTCCATTGTGGGAAACAATATATTTTTGCTTAGCTAATTGTGGCCATTTAATCATTACATGGAAGTGGCTAAGTAGGAATTAAATAAGGCCAGAAAACAGATATTTAAAAAACAACCTTTACAATGTTCATTGATGAACCATATACAGGCAGGCCAGTTATAAATCTTTCAGTGCAGACCATGAATGTTGGAGGCCCTGAAAAACCCCTTCAGCAGTCACATGTGAGCTGGCTGGAAAGACTCTTATGCAACCCTACTTTCTTTATATTTGTTTTCTTCTCACTTGAAGTGCTTATTGATGTACTTTCAATACATTATCTTGAACTTTTTCCTAATCATAGAAATCAACAAAATATCAGTGAAACTGAGTGCAGACAAATATGTTTTACTTAGGAAACAGAAATCACATATACAGACTTGGGGGTTGTCTGGGTTGGTAATAATGTTGATGAAAAATACTGAGGACTACAATCAATAGTTGTTGGTTACAAATTATGAAGAATCAGCACTGTGATGATGCTGTGAAAAAGGCAAATAAAATTGTAGGTTGTATCAAAAAAGTAATTGTTTTGAAGAAGAGAAGTAACTGTTCCACTTTATTCTGCACTACTGAGAGCCCATCTTCTGTGTTCGGTTCTGGGCACATATTTTAAGAAGAATTCAGAGAAACTGGAAGAGGTTTAAAGAAGGGCGACAAGGATGATCAGGGGCCTAAAACTAAGTGCTTTGAGGAGAGATGGAAGGAACTGGGATGTTGATGATGTTGAGAATTATGATGATTAGTCAGTTCGCTAACCTACTTTTCCTCCAGGGGCTGCATGCAGCTTATGTGGAGGATCTACCTTAATTTCTTTCTAACAGCTTCGAAAGTTATCTGTGAGACTGGCTTAAAGACATCTTGTGAGCTTACATGGCTGAGGGTAGATTTGAACCTGGATCTCCCAAGTCCTAGTTCAACATCACCTTGAAAGGGGTGATAACAGCATTCTTCAGGTCTTGGAATGAATGCCATGCAGAAGAAAGTCAAGACCTGGTAACTGGTATCCCAAAGGCTTCCTTTCAGCTAGAACTAGACCTACCGTTTTGGGGTTACAAAAATCCAGATGACTACTAAATGGCAGCAGAGAGCAAAACCCCAACTCTTTGCTGCCATCCAATGGTCACAGAGACGTTTGCAATTGGGATACAGTGGCCTTACTAAAACTTGGTGGGGTTTTTTGTTTGTTTGTTTGTTTGTTTGTTTTTTGGTGCCTTCAAGTCAGTGTTGACTCCTGGCGATTGCCTGGACAGGTCTCTGCAGTTTTCTTGGTAAGATTTCAGAAGTGGTTTGCCATTGCCTGCTTCCCAGGACTAGCCCAAGGCCACCCAAATGGCTTCATGCATATGTCAGGACTAGAACTCACGGTCTCAGTTTCTAGCCTGGTGCCTTAATCACTACACCGAACTGGCTCTTAAAACTTGTTTACCTAGGTGTTAAAAGTCTTTGAAACTGATGCTCCGTTTGTGGTGAGAGATGATTTTTCTCTCTTAGAGTCACCTGGCTTACCAGCATATCTGGTATCATATGTGGCTTTCCCCTGATCAATGAAGCTGGTCACCCCATCAAAGATAGAGATAAACTTAGTGTAGCACGTTATGTTTGTCACAAACCCATGTTGGTTCCTATTGTATGTATGTAGCATGACCATCCAAGGGCTTACAAACGTACAGCTTGATAATTTGTCCAAAGATATTAGCCAGCATAGTCTTCAAGCTGACAGGTCTGTAGTTTCCTGGATCTTCCTTCGTCCCATTTTTAAAATTGAAGTGACATTTGCTCTCTTCTAGTCTTTTGGGACCTTGCCAGTCCAGGGTTTGCCAAAATTGCTTAACATAAGCAAGTGAATCTGCTGGAAACAATAAGTCTATCATGAATAACATGGTACATCTGAAGCCCATGTTGGCACAGTATCAAATTTTAAAATGTTATCATGGTTCACAGCAGATTGGTTGTTTATACTTGTATTGATTTTTTTAAAAAATCTGATTACATTAATACTGTAGGCTGTTCAGAGCCTCCAGAAATGTAACAGCATATAAACTGTGGTTAAAAAAAAAAAAAAAGACATGCATATATAATGCATATATATAATGCATATGATGCTGTTCCACCAATCAATTTCTAATCTGTCTCTAAATTCCCCTGAGGAGGGGAGGGGCATCAGTGCCCAGTTGGGTGATAAATGAGTACAGAAATTCCCTTTGTTTGCTCAGCTAAATGTCAGTAATTCTTTTGGACAAACACTTGAATTGTCATTCTCTTCATTCTCCTCCAAAGCCATGAAAGACCTCTGGGGTGAAGGACATCAGCAAACTGAAATAGAGGACATGTTGAAAGAGATGGCCCTACCAGGCTCCAAGAACCTGAGTATCTGGGAAGTGGTGAAGCAGCCCAGCTTGCGATGGCCGTTGCTTATTGTCATTCTGCTGATCATGGGTTTGCAGCTCTCTGGCCTGAGTGCAGTTGAGTGGAACAAAACTTTAGAAACAGCTAAGAAAGTGACCTTTCCTCCCCTTTGTTATTTGTAGACCAGGCCAATCCCGTTGCCCTCACTGCAATCTGGCGCAAGATCATGTCTTCCTCTTTGCACTCCACATAGAGGCAGAGGGGCTGGAAAGGAGGAGAATAATTGTGTGGTTTGCACCAGAACTTCTGGTCTTCGTTTCTTTCTTTCTTTCTTTCTTTGCCCCAAAGCATTCAACAGGATGAGTGACAGTCATTAATTTTCTTATATTTCCATTTCTACCCGAGGGACCCAAGGCTTATTTCAGATCAACACATTTTCACACCTCTTTTTCAATTTAGTTTTTGTACCTAACTTATTTTATAGCCATATTTAATAAAGTATTTGTACAACATTGTTTAGTTGAAAAAGTAGTAGCATCATGTAAAGAAGTATTACTTTAAAAGCCCTTTTTTCCCTTTAATTTTCTTTCTTTTTCTTTCTTTCTTTCTTTCTTTCTTTCTTTCTTTCTTTCTTTCTTTCTTTCTTTCTTTCTCTCTCTCTCTCTCTCTCTCTCTCTCTCTCTCTCTCTTTCTTTCTTTCTTT